TGAAACTTGTAATATTTTTACATTAGACTTTGTTTTTAGTTAGCCACACGCCCGCACAAAAGTACTCAAGGAATCAGTAATGTTGGCATCTTTTGATGTACTTAATCTTTTAGTGTATATTTTTCTTACTAAATCTTACAATGTTTTACATTTGACTTTGTTTTTAGCACTATAGAATCACTTATCGAAGTAATAAAGATGGCATATTTCCATTAGTTCAATCTTTTGATGTATAAATTTCATGATGAAACTTGTAATGTTTTACACTTTACTTTGTTTGTAGTAGCCATACAAATACTCGAGGATTAGTAAAGATAGCTTCTTTTTAAAACCTATAATTTTCATACTGAAGCTTATAATGTTTTTACATTTGACTTTGTTGTTTGTAGCCATACAAGTACTCAAGGAATGAGCAAAATGCTTTATTTCCATTAACTTAATCTTTCAGGGTAGAATTTTCATGCTGAAGCTTATAATGTACGTAGTATTTACATTTACTTTGTTTTTAGTAACCATACAAATAGTCAACAAATTAGTTGACAAATTAGAGTCCTAGGAATTGAAATCATAGAACAATAATACTTATAAGTTATAACTAGTTTGTTCAATGTATCAATACTTCCTCCACCATTTTGTCTGGTCAACTTCTAGTATAAAACACGTGGTTTATGACGTCTAAGCATATCTAGCTTCTGAAAGCTTTATTGCCATATTGCAGGCTGTACTTCTAGAACCATTCAACTTTTTTTTTGGGGGTGGGGGGGAGATATTAATTTCTTCTAATTTTTTTAATTGTTTGATTCAAAGAGTTTTATCCGTCAAAGCAAGAAAACATTTAAAAGATTTATGAATTTGTCATATTGCAGTCTTCTATACTGCTGGAAGGAGGAAACTGTCAAATTAGTACCTTAATTTATCTCTAAAATGTCAAGTATTCTAAAAAAACTTGTCTCTACTAGCATTAAGACTACATCATCATGCAAGTGATACAACAAAGTACCTAAACTAATTTTTGTGTGTGTTAATTGAGTACAACATTAATTCTCACGATAAAACAGATGAGATGGCATGAAAGGACTGTTCAATTTATACTGTTAGTATCTATGAAGCACGGATACTTCCCTAGGGTAGCGTATCGGCGTATCGGATACGTTCCCGTATCCGATACTCTAGGATACCCGTACCGTACGTTCCCGGGCCGTATCTGTAATTTTTAAAAGTTTCCATTTTTTTGTAATTTTTTGAAAGTTTCCGATACTCGTATCCTGACGGATACCCGTATCAACTTTTAAAAAAAAATCCCAAAATTTACTTAATAAAATTCTAAAAAAATGAAAACCTAAAACTACATTTTACTTGGTAATCAAGTCATTAACTCATACTTCGAAGTGGGTACTTGCACTTTTAATTTCAAGATTGTAGTTGTTTGACTTATTTCTCATTTTAAATTAATGACTTATTGACTACATTTATATTTTTAGATGCACTGGTGTACATGAGAAATATTATGAATTTATTACTAAATATCTTGAAAAAGGAAAATGTTTCAATGCAATGAATGAGTAGACACCATAGGATATTATATGTGTGTGTGTGTGTGTGTGTATATATATATATATATATATATATATATATATTCAAAAAAATAATCTATTTTTAATATTTATAAATAGACCCCTATAACTTTTAATATTTGTAAATACACCCCCATAACTTTTAATATTTATAAATATGGCCCCGTATCCGTATCCTACTTTTTTTGGTTTTGACGTATCCCCGTACCCGTTTCCGCGTTTCCACGTATCCGCGTACCGGTATCGGTGCTACATAGGTTAGTATCCTTGTCAGCAAATATTCACTCCTATAAACCCTAATTACCTCTTAGGACGTTACTACATCTCCTCTTCTTTCTTCTTTTTCCTTTTCTTTTTTTTGCATTGCCCTTCTTTTTCCCATTCTTTCTTCTTCTTCATTTTATCTCCTTTTTAGTCCTCTTTTACATAATTCCTTGAACTCTGAAGGGTTTCTATTTTCACCAGCAGCCTTACAAACTTTACTAATAGAAAGGTTAGAGTGTTGAGAAGCAGTTGATTGCTGCTTGCTCTCTTCTGTGCGAGCCTTGACTGCTCTATTCTGCAGCTTCTCTTCTTCCCTTCATCCACGATGCTAAATAAGAGACAAGGGGCGACTATCTAGCAGGAGTCGTTTCAATTGTATGCCACAAGGTCTCTATGGACAAGGGGACAAGTGAGTCATCGCTTCTGGGTATCATAGGCAGTCTTCTACCTTCCATCCGATTTCACTCCATCGTGTTGTATTATACTGATCCATACCAGAAAATCCAAAATTCACTGAACAAGACCATAGACAACTTTCGCGCAAATCCTAAAAACATATACCTTTCTTTTGATTCATCACTCTCCATTAAAAAATTTATTCGCTGAGTTGCCTGCATCCCTCTTTCGCTCAGCCTCCAAGGTTCAACATCTCCAATTTTCTTTGGAGTACACTATGCCTTCCTCAAATTGGTGAGCCGCCAAATAAACTAGTTAAATCTTAGGGATTTATATTCATTGGAGATTGCCTTAATCAAATAGAAGATACAAGTTTGACTACTTAAACCATGTCAGCAATAACTTTGCCAAATCATCATTTTTTAACATCGGGATAACAGATGTACTCAACTGATACTCCCTCCGTCCCACTTTAAGGTTCCCACACGATTTACGATGTTTGACTGACCATAAAGTTAACTGATCCCTGTCATTAATAGAATTATTTTTAGTAAATAAAATTTACATATTCAGAAACTACATTAAACCCGCTACAAAACCTGCAAAAAATAATTTAAATTTCATAAACTTTCGATATAAAAAGTAAAAGATTAAGAACAATGCACGTTGACCGGAGAATAGTGTACGGGAACCTTTAAATGGGACGGAGGGAGTAATAAAAAATTATGTTGATGTACTATGAGATGTCGCATACAAAATTATATACTCTTTATGCTACGGGAGACAAGTTAAAGTACCACTTTGACACTTTTCCACTGAACTCTTGTAGTTTTGTAAAGAGTATCAAAAGAACAAGTTTCTGCCGTTTGAGGCCAATTAGGCTGGGGCCTGGGGGTATGATTTTGCATGATTTCACTTTTATTTCTTCTTTTGATCCCCCCCCCCCCCTCTTTTACCGGTTTCCTAGCAATTTTTTAACATCGTTATTGCTATACATATAAAATAATACTACCTCCGTCCCAGGGACAAGTTCCCACTTTCCTTTTTTGGCAGTCCCAACAAAAAGTTCTCATTTCCCTAAATGGAAAGTTATCTTACATCAAAACAGTGCCAAACAGTGTAAAACAGTGCCAAATAGTGTCGAAACAGTGCAAAACAGTGTCGAAACAGTGCCAAACAGTAAAATTTACCCCTCAGTAACTTTATTTCCTTAATATGTGTGAAAGTCAACCCGGGAACTTCTCCCTGGGACGGAGGGAGTATATTTTAAATTACAACAAAGTTTTATTAAACACAATTTTCTTTTAGATTTCCCAAAAACTAATTCCTCTAAATTCTTTTTAACCCCACACATTGTTTTTACATGACCTACATATATTCCTTTAATTATATAAATTACAACATTTGTGCAGATTGACCAAAGTTGACCGTTTGATGCATGTTTCAGGATGGAAACATAACTCAGAAGCTTGAATGTCATCATCAAGGACAAACACAAAACCATCACAGGGATCAAAACTCATATGAGCCCAAACCCAGTATCCAAACCCAGTTTGAGTACCCATTGAAGAAATGATATTACTATCTGTTTCAAGGAAAAGTAGATATTAGATCTGTATCTAGCTGTATTATTCGCTATTCGTGGTTGTATTAAGGGGGGCTTGGGAGAAAGGGAAAGTAATGCAGAAATCATATACTACTACTTGAATGATAACAGATAGTTGCTCAAAATGTTATGCTATTGAAACCCAAAGACTTTCTAATTTTATTCCTAAAGTTCTAAACTAAAAAGAACCTGATATAAATCTCTTGTTGCTTCTTATAATTTGTAAGTCACAAAACACTACTTCAATCGTCAAACCCAGTATCTGGACCTCGTCATTGTGCCATTGTGATATTGACTCGGCAAAAAAGGGCCGTCCTTTTGAGGACCCTAACAGGGATTTGAAGCTTTAATCTCCATTTGAGGACCCTAATCTCCATCTCGCTAGAGGGTATTGGTTGTTGATAATTGATGTGAATAAAAAAAGTTTATTTGAATAAATAAGAGATTTCATTCAAAGTAGGTGCATGTAGATACTATTGCAAGCGAAACGGTGATGAAGTGAGTCCCAACATTTTGTTAAGGAATCATATCATGAGTAAAAATTGGTAGTGTTTGAGAAATAAATGTTTTTGAAAAAGTTAAAGTTGGTATTATTTGAGTAAATAATGTTTTAATATAATGAGTAGAAAACGTGAGAAATAGTTTAAGGGAGTGTTTGTGATTCCACTTTAAAAAAATGACGTTTTAAAATGATTTTGGAAAGAAAATGTTTAATAATAAAAGTTGATGACACTTAAAAAAAGTTTCTAAAAATTTAAAAGTCGATAGCTAGAGTTTGGTAAAAAAAAATTGTTTTTGTGTAATTGAAAAAGTGAAAATAATTTAGAAGCACTCCTCTACTTGTTTCTAGCTTTTAGCTTTAAAATGTTTAATTTAGTAAAAACAATCACTTGAAATCACTCATTTTAGCTTTTGTGATTCCAAAACCCGAAAAATAATTTTTTTGAGTTCTTGCAAACACTCTCTAAACATATGGTTCCACCTTTTATCTTTTTTGTATTTAATTTAAACAAAAGGTTTCATCTGAAAATACTCATTTCAACTTTTCCTAAATAACAAATGAAAATGCATTTTTAGTTTTTGCATACAATCACATGTTAAATCTGGTCATAATCTAATCTAATTGGAAATGAACCGATTTGCAGCTACAGACAAATACAGTATAATCCAATCAATAGAAGTGGACAATGTAGGCACATTTTTAGCATGCAATAATGAAGAACAAATCCTAAAAAAGAGCTTTATTCTCTATTGGCAAATCCCTAAAACATACTACAGGTTTGGGTTGAACATATTTCCACTTAAATAAACACAGACGTCTGTCATCAATTAATACCCAATTATATATACTGGCTTATTAATCTCGACAAAAAATAATTTTTAAATGTAATTTCTGAGAAGAAATTCAATTCTGCCAAAGTTGATGTTCCCGTTACTGCTGCTGGTCACTGCCTTCCCATTTCCATATAATGTCCTTCAGAGAAGGCTTCAAATCTTGCTCACAGAATTTCCTATACTCCATGGTATCTCCTGAGCTTTTCTTGACCTCCACCACGTGAAACGACGGCGTAACCTCGAAGATCTCCGCATCAATGGCCAGCTGCCCTTTCCTCCCCTGTTTGCTCCCCTGCAGCTTCACCGTCCCATCTTTCTTCTCCACTCTGAAACTCTCCGTCATGGCGATCTCCTCGAGCTTCGAAACTATGGTGGACGCCGTCTGCTGCGTCGTGAACCGGGACTCGGGCTTCCGGTTCGTGTCAACGTCGAACAGCCCCGAGAGGTTGAAGCTCGGCGACAGCGATATGATGTCGAATGCGTTCATGCAGGTCGGTTTCATCAAAAAATCGGAGGACCCGGGGGCGCCTCCGGCGAGGCTTCCGGCGGAAGTTCCGGCGGGGATCGGGTCCTCGTCGACAATGATGTCAAAAACGCTCCGGGGAGAGAGTTCTTGATCGGGGGATGGTTGGATTTGAACGAATCCCTTCTGGAACCAGGAATTTTGCATGAGTTTGGACAGGGGAATTCTGGAAACAGGGTTAGGATCAAGAATTCTGGAGAGCAATTTCTTGACCTCCGGCGGGAACCACCGGGGACACTTGAAATCTCCCTTGCTGATCTTCTTGTACATCTCCATGATATTAGAATCCCGGAACGGGAGATATCCGGCGAGGAGAACGAAGAGGATGACCCCACAGGACCAAATATCAGCCTTCTCGCCGTCGTACCCTCTCTTGGTGATCACCTCCGGCGCGACGTACGCCGGCGTCCCGCAGGTGGTGTGGAGGAGCCCGTCCTGCCGCCGGGACTCCGCCAGAGCGCTGAGCCCGAAATCCGTGACCTTGAGGTTCCCAGATTCGTCGAGAAGGAGATTCTCCGGCTTCAAATCGCGGTGGTAGACGCCGCGGCTGTGGCAGAAATCGACCGCCGCGATCAGCTGCTGGAAGTATCTCCGGGCGGCGTCCTCCTTGAGCCGCCCCTTGGCGACCTTGTTGAAAAGCTCCCCTCCCCTGACATATTCAATGGCGAAGTAGATTTTGGTCTTGCTGGCCATAACCTCATGAAGCTGGACCACGTTTGGGTGTTTGATCAGCCTCATAACAGAGATCTCGCGCTTGATCTGATCGATCAGACCGACCTTCAACACTTTCTCTTTGTCGATGATCTTCACCGCCACGTTATCGCCGGTTTTCGTGTTTCTGGCATGGTACACCTTGGCGAAGGTCCCCTGCCCCAGCAATCGCCCAATTTGGTACTTATGCATCACCATTGTCCCTTTCTCCATTTCTCTGTTTTTGGGTGAATTTTTTCAGAAAAAACGATTCAAGATGGTGATGGATTTAGCATTATTGAAGCCTTGAAGGAGCATTGATTCTGGGTATGGAGATCTTAATGCAGGGGCTAGGACGGAGAAGATCCTTGCCCCGCCTGTTCTGAGAAAAATGATTGTTTCGTTATTCTTTTTCCTTGTTCAGGTGATTAAGAAAACCAGAGGTTTGGAGTGGATTTTGACAGAAGAAGAGAGAATCACTCTAATGGTGTCTGTGAGCCATCCTAATTAAGCCCGGCAATTTGATCGTTTCTCTTGGTCCAAATTCCTTTTGAGCCGCAAGGGATGTCTTATGTTGATATCATCATATTTTACTTCCACGTTTACCTATTTATATACTATTATACAGTATGTATATCTTCTCGAATCTTTTGGGGTGAATTTTTTATACGTAGTACGTTGATTAGTATAATATTGTTGATTAGTAAAATCATCCATCACAACGTGTAGTGATTTTGATTGGACTATCCCGCGCCGTTGGACCGTTGGTTGAATAATTTTGGTGGACCGTTTGGTGACCTTTGATTTTTTTGTCACTTCAATTTTGACCAATTATATATTTTTACGGAAAATTACTCATAATGTAAAAATTTTATGATTCTTTGTTATTAGTACTTCTATAAAAGTATAAAACTTATCAATTTTATCAATTTCATAAAAGTATTATGCTAATCAAAATTATGATCCAAGCTTTACCATCATTGACTTAAAAATCAAATATAACAAAGTTTTTAGGAGTAGAAATAGTATAAAATTGGAAATTATCAAAATGCTCTAATGAAAATGACAATTAAGTTATTGTACCTAAATATCAACCAATCACACACCTCCACTTCAATGTGTAAGTAATAAATGTTAGTAAATTAATGTTATAAAATGTTCAAATTGTTGGTGATTTTAGTGTCACCGACATTTTTGTGTAATCGGAAATGATATGAGTGCCAATGAGAATTAGAACTATGATCTGATACAAGTTAGTAGGTGTGAAGTGCACACTTGTATATAAGAACTAGTTTAATTCCAAATTGTCTACGTCAGTGGAACACGAGGTATAACGTTCAGTAGACCAACTCTGTGGTTCTAGACCGAGGTCTAGAACAGTTGGACAGTTTCCAGCATTTTCCCAAAAACTGCCACTGTTATTCTCAAACGTGTTGCAACTGCCTAGAACGGTTAATATGGATATACACTACTACAATTTTAGACCTAACATAACCTTAAAGATGTAACATACTTATAAAAGTGTTACATATTAACCTAGTGTAACACTTTTTAGAAGTATAAACGTTACATAAGGGTCTATAAAGTGTTACAATATGGCAAATGTAACATGAGCAAATGTAATTGTAAAAGTGTTACATTTTCTCTAATGTAACACTTTTAAGTGATATTGTAACATTTTTGGGTGATACATTAGGAGTTGAAATGTAGTAGTGATATAACACTATATTTCGTACAGAGAAGTGAGGCAAGATATACAACGCATCTTCATCACTATGGCACTCAAATTAAAGAAAAACAATTCATATACTCACTAGTTTTGCTCTAGTTCTTGTACCTAAGTTCTAGAGTGTCCTTAAGGATTATCCTAGATTGAATTTCTTATAACACAGGTATAGGGGATAAATATCAATTCGGAAAGTGAACTTACACGATCCTTAAACAATCCAAGTACTTGATTATCACCCCTATACACACGACGACCCCAACACAAATTACATTTTAGCCGGTAACGAACTGGTTAGTAAGTAATAAAGTATCGTTGTGGCAATCAATGTGTAACCGTTGATCCAACTTAGATAAATTAAAAGGTCACATGCATTAGACACAAATAGATTACTAATTTCAAACCCTTAACTTACACATGTGATTCCCAATCCGATTTAAAAAAGCATTGCAATCCTTGAAGCGAGGCGAGAGGCGAGAGGCGAAGACACAAAAATCCAACTTAATGTTGATAGAGTTCGTGTTGTGTGAGTGTTATTGAATGCATGTTTGATTGTTTTTAATAATATGTTAAGACATGAGGTTCCATCCTAAAAGGTCAACCTAATAGGAGGAGTAACTCAAAGCCTTATATATTGTTTAATTGTTTTATAGCTTTCCGGTGTGGGACAAATGCTTCAACATAATATGTATTCTCGAAATGCCAGTGCCAGAGTTAGTTTACGGTTCTTGGGATTTTTTTAGGATTTGAGTTATGAGTATTGGTATTTTTGGTATTTGTTTATGTTAAGGTATACTACCTCGGCCTACTACTGTTCAGAGGCCCAATACACTGCCCCGATATGGAGCCCAGTCGGCGAGGCCCGTTTTAGGCCTACACGGCCCTTTTCGGCCCAACACGACCCATTGGCCCATGGAGAAAAACCCTTACCCCCTCCCCCATCTATAAATAGGAAGCCAACCTTCCTAATTAAGGGAGCTTTTCTTTGGCTCTTATCTCCAGGAGCCCTACTTCTTCTTCTTCTTCTTGCTTAGATTAGAATAGTTCAACCTCCATTAATGGAGTTCAAGATGCTTGTACTATGTAAATGGTGAGGAGAGCAGATTAATGAGAAAGAGCGGGCTTAGACGTTAGTCTAAAAAGTCCCGTGGTTTTCTCCCTTTCCGGGTTTCCATGTAAAAATAGCTAGTTCATACACTTTAATATATTTTATTTATGTTTATACCGAATTAATCGTCCTTAATATCCAAAGTTTATGTTCGACTTTCGGATCTACGGGACAAAACATCAACATTGGCGCCGTCTGTGGGAAAAGTTAAAAAAGTTTATGTGTTCTTGATGCTGCAAAGATTTTGACAGAATGATGAACAGATTCTAGCAAAGAAAAAAAAATGATTCTAGGAGAAGCTCTGAAGCTTGGCCTATGAAAGAAGGAAGCAGATCCTGGTTAGCAGTCCTCTCAGGTGCAAAACTGGTGGCATGTCTCAAGAAGAAGCAGCAGAAGATCCAGATGTGAAGGGGGCCCACATGCCCACTAACTTGAGATAAGAGGAATATCTATCATTCTCACGTGGCTGACAACACCACACAAGTGGATGACTTGACAGTCATCATTATCCAAAAGTAAAGGCAGGATCCCGAACGGAAAAACTTCCTGAACGCCCAAAGGTTTGCACCCGGAAGCAGTCGCAGGAGGCCACCAGTTCACCACGTCACCATTCCTTGGATCTGCAGGGGAGGCCGTTCGCATCAACAAAACTAGCGTTTCCCGGCCACTACAAAGGGTGACCAACTACAGTACATAGACCGAATGGTTAGGACGTTCGTACCCTTCTTGCTAAGAAACCTCCAACCTGGCCCCGCAGTAGGTGGCTTCCGGGAGGGAAGTTTCAATTATCTCCCGAACGGCAGTCCCTTCTGAAGGGTGGTCAGCCTGGGAAGGACCAATTATCCATTACATTCCTTGAACACCCCGCTCGGTGTCCCTGGTCAGTCCACCATTTAGTCTCGTGGATCAGCCGCTCGAGTACGACGTCGTTCAGTCCCCAGACCAAAGTCCACTTGGGAGGGGGTGGCATGTGAGTCTCGAACGGTAACACTACCGTCTACCGAACGGGAAATTACGAGAGGACAGGACGGGAATTCAAAGAGACCGCATTCGACGCTCAAAATTGTGAACGGAAGTCAGACCTACCGGACAGGAAGGGGCAGAACCAGTAGCTGGGGCTACCACAAATGATAGCAGATTAGCAACTACAGGCCCGAACATTAAACTCCCGAACGAGGCAAAGTGTCAAATGGCTAGAGTTTTCTGTGATTGCCTAGCTTCCCAAAACTTAAATGATGAAACAACACTTCTCACTGGCCGAACAATACCCCCTGATCAAGAGCTTCAACTCATCAAGACTCAAACATGAATATCGCCGCTCGGTTTGGCAGCTTGGGCATGACCGTCCAAACCTCTGAAATATCTCCTAGACTGGCCGGGAACAGGTATAACACCGATCGGTAAATCCAGAGGAGACCACGCGGCCGGCCATGGAGGAACGGGGGCTGATCAATCGTCTTCTGAGAGGGAATCCCGACCAGGCAGATAGACAAATCAACATCCCAAACGGGAGAACTTCAGATTGTTCACCAACTGGTTTGACCCCAGCCTTCGGCCGACCGGCGGTCCCCCAATCGGCATCCCCGCGGCCGGACGAGAGGCTCGAAATTCTTCTTTTAGTGGGTTGCCATCTTGAAGAGCTCGAACGGCTTCTGGAAGTTCCTACCGGCCAGCCATTTCAATTATAAATTGGGGGACTTGGTGAGCTGGGCTGCACTCAAATGGGCCAGAATATCAACAAAACAATTAATGTTCAGCTCATAAAGCTAAGTTCCACCTTTCTTTCCCTCTGATTTAATTTTAAATGAGGCTATTGCTATTACATTTCGGGAGCACCAATTCTGATTTAGGGGTTAAAACATCCCGAGTCAAATGGTGTCAAGCGAGGCCCCAATGATTAAAGTGCTCCGTCATTTTGGACTTAAATGATTGGTTGTAGTGAGGGCTATTGGCTTACCCCGATCGGCCTTTATTAGCGGCCGAAGCATCCATGGACCCGTTCGGTGAGGGCGGTACATCCATGAAAGTATTAAATGAAATGATGTATTAGTATTTATGAGCGATTGTTTGTTTAGTAGGGATTAAAATATCCTGAGTTATACAATAACTAATGCTCTAGTAAGGAGTTTACCATCATTTAAAATTAAATGATTGGTTTTTGTGGGCCTATCCGTCCACCCCCGATCGGCCCAAATGTGTTGAACGAGGCGTCCAAAGGACATTGCCCGAACGGAAATCATACCTAGTACGGGGCGAAGTACGTACATGGACTCTGACAGTTCAAGAAATAAATCTGGGCCAGGGAGTTATTATTACCACTCCTGCCGGTAGTCATGAATAAAAAATAAATAAATAAAAAGAAAATGTTATACATATGTGTATGTGCATACTTGTATATATTGTTCGGCCGTGTGGCCGTGTTACCATGCTTATTGTGCAGTGAAATTCGTTCGTTCGGCTCGAACAAGGAGATCATGAAGCAATGAAGCACAGAGATGTTCATGACGATTCGGCATGAAGCACAGAGATGTTCATGACGTCCAGCATGAAGCGCAGAGACGTTCATGACTGGAAACGAGAAAATAATCACATTCATTCAGAGCTGTTCGGTCAGCTCGAACGGGGAGATCATGAATCACAGAGATAGATGTTCATGACGTTCAGCATGAAGCGTGTAGACATTCATGATCGGAAACGAGAAAAGAATCACATTCATTCAGATTCGTTCGGGTAGCCCGAATAGGGA